CGACCACGGCCCCGCCCCCGCCCGGAGGGGCGCAGGGACCAGGACGCCCGGTGGGGGCACGCCCCCAGGCACCTGCACTCACCGAGGACCCAGAGGGACAGCAGGGCAGAGAAGATGAGCTTCATATCTGGGGTCCTGAGGAGACTCCAGCAAACCAAGGCTCTGCTACCTGCGCCTGCTTCGCACCCCTTTATCCCCTTGGTAACCTCATGGGGTTGGCCCCGCCCTGTGGCCCAATAGGGCCCCCTGCGCCCTCCCCCCACCTAGTTCCTGGAGGCTGAAGAGCCCTGGGGTGGTGGGGGAGGGGACAGAGCTGGGCCGGGAAGGAAAGGTGCCTGGGCCAGGCTTGGCACCAGGAGAGGAGAAGCTCAGCCCACAGCCACCTCCCTGGTCAGCGCTGGCGCTCCCGTGGGGCCACCCTTTCTCTCCCATCACCCTGCAAGCCCCCGGGGCATTGCAGCCCTTGGGTCCGGTCTGCCCTCTGGTCTCAGTGCCTCCTAGAGGTGGGACACGGAGCGGAAGTCCTAAGGTGAATATTTGTGCATCATCTGGACTGCGACACCGAACTTTCCTTTAGCAGACGGTGTCTGAAGTGCCTGGGAGCCGGCTAGGGCAGGGGGCCCCACCTCCATCTTGGCTCGGCAGCCAGCCTGAGGTCTAAAGGGGACCCACTGCCCAACCTGAGGTCGGCAGCAGCGTGGCCAGCTGGAAAGATAACAGAGGCTGCCCGGAGTCTGACCCGAGCCGCCCTGGGGTCCTCCCAGCCCTACCGAGACCACAATCCAGCTTCCTAAGAAACAGAGCCAGAGGCCTCTGGGGGAAGAACCACCACCCAGTGCCCAGTGGCTGTCCCCCTGTCCCCTCGTCTGCCGAAGAGAAGGATATCCTACCCCTCGTTTCTGTTTTGTTTTGTTTTATGGAAGAATGAGGTGGGCAATGGGAAGCTCATTTTAATGTGTCACATTTTGTCCTCTATGCTTGAGTTGACCGGCTCCTTCCCCGTTTTTGGAAGCTGTTTTTGAATCCTAAAGTTAGAATTCTGCTTCTAAGAATACATCTTGTAAAATACACTCCCGTGACGTGCAATAGCCTCCATACAACGGTGCCCAGGGCAGCACTGCGTGGTTATTAATGGACTGGAAGCAAACTAAACGTCCATCTCTGGGGGTGTCACATGGAATGCGGTGCCATGCATGCAGTGGGACACACCGGGGGCCTCAGCGAGGGCGGGCCACCTTGTGTGTATCACTGCGAACTTAGCTCCCAGAGACTCTGAGGGAAAGTGTTAGCGCTAAGAGCTGGAGGGATCACAGACCACCTCGACACCCCCTCTCATCAGCTCATTCTGGCCAGCGTGTGGGCCTGAAATCTGCTTGACCGGAGAAGCTGGCCTTGACCCTGCCCTTGACCCTGCCCTTCCCGGAGCAGATCAGCAGCACCCAGGGAAGCCGCACTGGTGAGGGTGGGCACCGCATGGAGAGGCAGACCCCGCCCAAGTCTCTAAGGCTCTCAAGGAGGCCATGGAGTCCCCACCCTGGATGGGGATCTGGCCGAGACACAGATTGGGGTCCGGGGTTCAGGGCTGAAATCCCCAGTTGGGTTTTGGGTGACAGATCCAGAGTCTCTCATTGTTTGGAAACATAGTATCGCAACATTAAAAGTTGCTTTCATCAATAATTGCAATACGCTCTTTCAAAAATAGTGAAGAAATGTAAAATTGACTAATTCTCAGGAGTGCCGAAGCATCTCTGCGGTTAGATTAGTAGCTCGGCTTTGCCTCTCCATGATTATAAACGAATTAAGAAACGTCACAAGCTGTGTCTCTATCTCTGAGTGCAAATTAGGGAAAGGATGGGTTGGAAAGTCAGAGGCTTCTAGACCCTCTGATGTCTGGGGCAGCTTTGCCAGGAACACAGAGAGCCTGGGGCCACAGCCAAGAGGCTGAGATGAAGGGGTGCCCTGGAGGCAGGACTGAGGTCAGCAACAGGGCAGGCTGTTTTTCTGCTGTGTTTGCAGGGGATGACCCGCCCCCAGCCAGGGATGTGTTCAGCTGGACACTCGCTGAAAAGTCCTCCAAGGCCATCTGCAAAGGAAGCTGGTGCAGGAGTACGTCTGCCCAGAAGCCAAATGAAGTTCAGCTGATCTGTTATCAATATCAATTTATTCATTCATTCATGCCAGAACCGGTGAGGGCAAAGGGTCCGTCCTTGCCCTCAGGAGCTCATGGCACAATGGAGCCTGGGAGGTTGGGGGCACAGCCACACGCCTCTGTCACACGGGCCACCCGGGAAAAGGCAAAGCAGCATAAACAAGGAGAGTGGGAACCAGGGGAGGAAAGACCAGCCAGTTCCTATCGTGAGGGCTCCAGAAGAGTCTGAAAAAGAGCCTTTGACCTTAGTACCTGGCGGGAGGGGTAGGGTTTCTACGGGGAGAGTAGTCAGGTAGAAGAAACAGCCTCAGTGACCAGTGGCCAAGTACCTGAATATGAGGGACCACAAAAGGTCACTCAGGGCTTTCTGGCCCGGAAGTCTTATTGGAAAGATGAACAAAGTCACCTCCTCTCTCCCGAGCTCCACACCAGGTGTCTGTCTGCGCGCTGGACAGGTCCTCTTGAGATTCCCGTAGGCATCTATTCAATGCATCTGAAATGCAGCTCATCCGCTCCCTCTAGGACCTTCTCTCATATTTCGACCGCTTTCCACCAAACCCACCAGACAAAGAGCCTCAGTGTCCTCCCCAATCCAGCTGGCCCTGCACGTGTGATGGGCACTTGATGATCAATATTGGTGGGATGAACGAGTGAGTGAGAAGGAGGAAGGACAGGAGGCGGGCAAAGGATCCTGCTTGTCTAGTCTGAAAAACGGCGAGGCCCAGGGCTGGCCACGCCGGGCTGCTCAGAGCCTGTGCACGTGGAGTCATTCATTTCCTGCTAATTCAACCTCCATCTATGCGGCAGCCTGCACGGGATCTTCCCGAAGGTACAAGTTTCCAAACGCTGTGACCGTAAGGAGTATGCAGAAGGTGGCTGCGGTACAAACCGCCATATCGCAGCAGGAGCTGGTGCTTAACAGGTGGGTGAGGGAGGCCACCTCTCTACCCTCACTCCCTCTCCACCCCCGAAACCCACACAGTGACCCTTTGTCGGCTCAAAGACGGGCCCAAGCTGAGCCCTCCCCACCTGTGAGCAGTAAAGCCCACCACACTGTGCCCTCTATGGAGTCCTCTGGCTTCCAACCCCGAGAGGGATCTGGGCGGAGCTGGCTCCAGGTGGAGTAAGGGAGGAGAGTTCTCTAGATGTCCACTCACGCTGGGTCTCTAGCCCGGCCGACGGGAGAGTCCGGCCCTGGTTCCTGACCTTGCCAGCGGTGCGAGGTTGGTTGCTGGCTGGGTACAGACCCGTTTGGTAAATATTAAGGATTTTGTGGTAGGTTCTCAAAGCATTGGGAGCTCGAAATCAGTCGTGGTGGGAGTATTTACACCATGGAAATGAGCAAAGCTGTACATCCGGGCACTTTTCCCTCCCAGAGAACCGGTTTACGGCACACTGTACGCTGCCTGTGTTTGTCATCGTCGGCATTCAGTGCCCATATTAGTGTGGCATGGGGTTTGGGGGGATGCCATCCCAGGAATGAGACCAGGTAATAATTCACAGGATTTGGATGGCACTTTTAACTCCAAACAGACCTGTCAGTGACCTCATCTCATGTGACTATAACAATGGTTCTGTGAGTTAAGAAAATCACTGTTTCTGCTCTAAAAAACAGGTAAACCTAGGGTCGCCTGTGGTCACACAGTGAGTGAGACGCAGAGACAAAGCCCTGAGCCCCCCATGAGCCCACAGCCCGGGCTCTTCCACAGGACTCTCCAGGGAGCTCGGGGTGCACACCGAGGCCAGGAGTCTCCTCCGCTCTTGATCTCAGCAAGCACTGACCCCCCCGCCATGGACCCAGCACTGTCCAGCCCCATCCACACGTCAGCCGCAGCTTGAGTCCTCACGGAAGCACCACAAAGTGACGAGGGGACGCAGACAAAGCCAGTTGTCCCCAGTGACACAGCTGGAAATCTGCCAGCGACCCCTGGCCTCTATCCAGTGATCCCTTATGAGTATTGATCCTGATCACCGTGGAGAGTGAGCAAGAGGTGGGCGGAGGGCTCCCTGCTCCTCGGCCAGAAAGATGGCCATGACTTCGGAGCGAGACCTTCACATTGACCCTGCCTTAGTCCCCTTGCATAGAGCCAAATGTCCTGGGGAGGCGGGGGGAATCTTTGAGTGGGTCTGTGGGCGGTGCCTTCAGGAGGGGGCTCCGCTGAAGGACGGAGGGGAGGCAGGAAAACGGCGGCTTTATTAACTAATGCATCTTGTTGCCAAATGTTGCCCAACGTACAAAGAACCGGCAGAAACAAAGAGCTTCTATCTCCTCAGACGTCTCTCTTCCTCCTCCCTCTTCTCCTCCTCCTCCCTGCCCCTCCCCCCATAATCAGGACCCTCTCATCACGGTGCCAGACCCACTGAGTGACCCTACACCCTGTCCCCACCAGTCCAAGGGGCAGCAGAAACGTTCCAGGTTCTCCCAGTTGCAGGAGTTCAGTTCTCCTGGCCGGGGTGGCGCCCACGTCCCTGGCAGAAATCTGACCTCCATAGGCACCTAATCGCCACATCCACTGAGATAAGCGTGCACAGGCCAGGCCCAGGGAGACTTCCGGGAAGGTGCCAGCCAAGGTCGGCCCGCAGAGTGGCGGTGGCTGGCGCAGGGCCAGCCATGCAAATTTCTTCCCAGAAGGAATGAGGTCCCTGTCCAGGGAAACCCCCAGGCGGAAGCTTCTGGACCTCCTTTTGCTGCCTTTCCCTGGGGGCTGGCTTCTGGTAGGGAGAGGTCTGCTCTGCAGCCTTCGGCATCTGCAGCTCAGCCAGTGTGATGGCCATGGCTTCCAGAGCTGGAAGCTTCTATGTCTGCTGCCTGCACTCTCCAGGGGAGGGTCGGGGGGCTTTGACTAGAAGGAGCTCAAGCTGGGTGCTCAGAGGGGTGAGGAGCCACCATCTCCCTCTGTGTCCCTGGAGGAGGCTGGTGCTCCTCCTACCCAGCTCCTCCAGCCAGGAGTGCCCAGCCCCCTGGGCTGTGCTCCAGATGGACTCCCCTCCCACGC